CAAAAAAAAAAAAAAAAAAAAAAAACCCAAGTACATTAACATACACACCCACACACAGAGAGAGCCATATATTTAGTTATAGTCCCTTCTCTTCTGAATACTCAACTTTTATTATTTTTTATGGTACTGGGGTTTGAATTCAGGGCCTCATGCTTGCTAGGCAGGCACTCTGCTACTTGAGACACTCCACCAGCCCTCCACTTTTATTTCTGAGGTGACATGGCATTTCTACAATATAGCCAATCTTGCTTAAACAGCCAAGTGACTCAGAAAACCGAAGCAGGCTGTGGGTATCAGTATTACCAATAGTGATGGAGTGAGCAAGAACCGGGCAAGCAGTCTCCACATAGCTGGTCCTTAATTTCTAGGTGTACTTTGGATGTTAACAAAGACCCTACTCCCCATGAGAACCACCTTCACGCAAGGAAAATATTTTAAAGCTGGATGATTCTGATCAAAAGATTTTTCTTTGTCCTATTTTTGGTTGCTTTTTTCCTATCAGAAAAGAACAAACTTATACAACCTGTGCTTTGACCAAATATTTTTCAACTGGCCTGGCCATCTTCAGACCAAAAAGACAAAACAACAAAAAACCAAAAAGAAACCTGGGTCCTTTCTAACAAGGAACTAAAGTCAAATAACTGCTATCTCTTAAGTAAAAATACAGCATGGCTGGCAACCTCAACATTTAGCTAACAGTTGAAACAATGAACCAAAAGAAAAGATAAATAGATCTTAAAAAGTAAAAGATAAACTGAGTGTGCTACAAAGACCCTGTTTTTTTTTGTTTTTTTTTTTGCTTTTTAAAAAAAGAATCCCCAAATGGAAAAAAAGAAAAACTATATGTTCAAGCTAACCAGAATAGGAAGAAAAAGAAAATGTGATAATTATCTAACACTAACTTTTATAACCATAATACATTTAAGAGACAAAACAGAAAAATGAATTGGGAGCCTAAAAGTCATTCAACAACAACTGAAATAAATCTTTCTCTATTCCACAGTACCTTTGATAAGTCGATACCACTGTTTGCAGACAAGAGCTGCAGTTTTGTGCTCCTGATATGGTGAGAGAAAGGACAGGATATACTCCAAAACCTCTTCTGGCAGCTCACACATGGACCTATTATGTGTAGTCTCCTCAACTTCCAATACAGGGTGGGAGTCCTCATCTTGCTCCATTGTCCCTTCCAGCACAGTTTCTTCTTGGTCCACGGCCATGAAACTGTCATCTTCACTGTCTGAGGAGCTGGCCATGACATTCCACTTGATGGCTATAGTAGTAAGAAACACACATCAGTATACAACTGTCAGAAACTCAGGAATAACTCAGCACTCAAATTGATCAAACTTAAGAAGAAAAACTAATTCTGGGTCCTGCAAAGAGTAGTAGGAGCTTAAGCACATTGTACTGACATGAATTAAGAAATAAATAACAGTTGCTTTGGGCTGGAGGAATGACTCAAGTGGTAGAATGCCTGCCTAGCAAGCTTAAGGCCCTGAGTTCAAACCTCAGTATCACCAAAAAATAAATAAAAACAACCCAAAAGACCTCACACCTATAATTAGGAGGCTGGGGCAAGAGGATTGAGAGTTTGAGACCAACATGGGCTACATAGCAAGACTGTCTCAAATAATGTAAAAGAAAAAACCAAAAAGGAAAAAAAAGAAATATTAGTTCAGTAGCACTCAGTGGTAGAGAGCTTGCCAAGCATTATAAAACCTTGTTTCGACCCCCAGCACTATGAAAACAAAACATAAGTTTTTCTAGCTTTTACACAAGACAATTCACTTAAGGGAGTAATAAATTATTAGGAGACATTTACAATACAAAACATCACAGGGGATTGAGGCAATAAAAAATTGAAACCAGAATAGTAAGTGGAAATAGTCACACAATGCACTACTTCACAGCTAAAAATGGCAGGGACACACACACACAAGTCAACCTCTTGAACGCAACGCCAGGCAAAAGAAGACAGAGAATATATACTATACAATTATACTTACATCAAGTTCAAAACCAGGCAAAATTAGTTTGTGCTGTTCAAGTAGTTACCAGAAGTAACCAGTGAGAAACTCCTAAAAGGCTGGTAAAGTTCTATTTCCTAACTGGGTACTGTGAAAAATTCACACTTTTAGAGTTTATCAAAATAAGCTATTATAAGTAGTTATTTCTTGTGGTGATATTATGGGTACTTTTTAAAATTTCCTTTTTGTGCTATTTTATATTCCTAAGCTTTCCAAAATGACCAGAATATATTAAAACATAGAGATCAGCAACTCACTTATATGTGCAAAGCCTGAGGTAAAAATAGGAAAACAAAAATGTGATTTATATAAGAACTTTATCCCAGATGGGTGCCAGTGGCTCACCCTTCCTAGCTACTCAGGAAGCAGAGATCAGGAAGATCACAGTTCAAAGCCAGCCTGGGCAAAGAGTTCATGATGAGACCCTATCTGGAAAAAAACCCACCACAAAAAATGGCTGGTGGAGTGGCTCAAGATGTAGGCCCTGAGTTCAAACCCCAGAACCAAAAAAAAAAAAAAGAACTTCATCCCAAGTTAGACTCTAAGGGGAGCCCTGAGCAGATGCTAAAGAGAATGAGGAATGCAAAAAGTTTAATGGGGAGAAGTTCCTAGAGACAAGGAGAAAGCAGGATTGGCAGGAGGAGCCCTCAGACCACGACACAGACCTGACAAAGAATGCCTGACATGAGCGGGCAAAGATGGCCAGTATTGGGTGGGCAGGGTGAAGCACCTGTATCACTGCTTTGCTTAGTCACAGCTTTGGACCAAGACCATGACCACCTTGGCTCCAAAGGAGAGGAAGACCCTGAAGGGGCAAACACTGTAGCTATACTTCTTAGAGATGGGCAGCCAAGTCCCTTCTTAAAAGGACATCTGAGTTAATTTTATTATTTTAATACATTTATGCACCTTGCTCCATACTCATCTACCCAGACCATTTAATATGCTACTCCATCTTAACAAATATTCACCATTCCCCCCCAGCACAGATGAAAATTAACAGAAAGAGGACTGGGGGTGTAGCTCAAGAGGCAGAGCCCTTGCCCAGCAGATCAATCCCCAGTACCACCCAACGAAACAAAACAAAAAAACAAGAAAAGACAAATAATGGAAAGAAAATCTAGTTTGGGACTTTGAAAAAGATCTGAAGTGTTCCAAAAGATGAGCAGGAGGGGAGAACAGAGAACAGAGACCTACTTCATCTCTACCACTGCTGTAATTCATATATTCATTATATACATCTTTAAAAACTGGAAGAATAATCAGTTAAGGAACTGGAAACATGAACCAAAACTCATTGTTTGGAGTCTTTACTCTCATTTCCTGCATGGGGACCAAGAAATGTTCGCCCTTACCCATTTTTCCCTAATTTATCCTGTTATACTAAAATAAATCCTTGCTAAAACTTTAAAAAAAACCCCAAAAAACAAAAACCTCATTGCTTGCTTGGAGTGGTAGAGCACTTCTGTAATCCCAGCACTTGGGAGTCTGAGACATGGGCTACTATAAAAAAAAAAAATTGCTCAATACAGAGAAGATATGGTCCCTGAATGACACAAGAAATTTGTGAAATAGTCTATACTTTAAAAGGGAGACAGGGGATACAAATTCCTGTACAACTAAACATTCATGATTTCTAAATTTAAATAGTGAGCCCTGCCCCCAGCCCTATTTGGTAGGAGACTGCACTGTTACGTAACCCTGTCTGTTGCCAAAACAATGTAAATAAAATAAAAGGTCAAGACTGTACATTTAAAAATATCTTAAACATTTTTTTTTTTCTGGTGATGGGGACCGAACTCAGGGCCTTGCGCTTGCCAGACAAGCATTCTTCCACTGAGCTAAATCCCCAACCCTTAAACATTTTTTTAATCATGGAAAAAAATGAGAAAGGCAACTGCCCTTCTGGTCTTTCATTTATTATTTGGTAATCAATGTATATATTTCCCTTAAAAATTATTATGCTAAAGGAAGAGTTATGTTCCTCATGAAAAGATGACCGAACCTGTTCAATGTTATCTATAGCCTGCCAGTAGAAAGCCAAAGAATATTTGGCTTATTAAGCCAACAAACTCCAAACCCTCAAGTTCTGAAATGTCAGAATCCTATGATTAAATGTCTTAATAGCTTTCAAAAAAAAAAGGGAGACAGTGGGACTGGGATGCAGCACAGTGTAGAGCACTTGCCCAGCATGTACCAAGCCTATCTGCAACACAGGAAAAAAATAAATATTTAAGAAAGAGAAAAAAGGAAGGGAGAAGATTTCATTGCTTCCAAAGAAAGATCACTTACCTATCAAATAAGTTTACAGTTCATGATACTTAAAAATGTGTTTTAGCAAAGTAGCTGCTAGAATCTTAGCTCCTTGGTAGTGACATGGCCTAAATCCTCCTGGTGGTATGGGGGAGGGGCAGTGACTGAGAAGGGCAGCATTTCTCTCCATTCCCCCAAACAGACAGGAATACTGTAATGAGTTTGCTGAAAATTATATTAGATAAAGGATGTTAGGCCATTTCCACTCCTGTTTGAATGAGCTGTTTTTAGTGTGTATAACTTCCCAGACGAAGGCCTTTTATCAAGAGATACTTCCATTTCCTAAAAAATAGGCAGTTATGTAAAATATAAAGTAAAAATCAGAAATATTTTTCTGGCAAAAACAAATGAGCAAAACAAAAACAAACAAAAAATGGTCCCTTATATGAATCGAAAAAACCTCACTTTCAGCATTCCTCCTATTTGTTCCCCCAGCTTATTATTATTTCCCATTGTCTATCTTCTTATCAACTCTCTCATTAACCCCCTTTGCTCTAAGATTCATCAAACAAAAAAGTCCAAAGAAACGGACTCAAGTTTGGTTTCATCAGGCAGAATCTGAAATACAGTTGTTCCCTTGCACAACACTAAACACCAAAAGACTGTGCGCCCAAGGTCTGCTTCAGAACGAACTGCATCAGTGCAGACTACAAAAGTTCATTTACGTAATTATTTCTTCCCAAGCAAAATGAATGTTTGACTCAATAGAACAACTTACTCCCTATCCAAATATTCTAAAAGTACAATTAGCAAGCGTAATAAAGGCTTCACACAGTTGTCAAAGCCAGTTTTAAGTAATTTCCACCATTCAGCCATTTCACTATTCACAAAAACATCAGGCCATGCTCCCAGGGGCACAGAGGCCAAGAACACACAGGAGTGGGCTCAGATGCAATTCCTTGGTAATTATATGCCCAGCACCAATTTATACATGGCTTCATTTTCTCTTCCATGATTAAGAAATGAAATCATCACTCATAGTCCCTGAGGACATAAGAGGCATTTTGAAGCTCCAAGTTTTGTTTTCATGCCAAAAGAAGCCCTATAAAACATTTCACATGTAAAGTACATTAACTCAGTGAATGTGGTTTTCATGAAACAGTTTAAAAGAAATCTCCCCATTCTTCCATTTGTGTTAGCCTTTTCACTTTTCCCAAAGTGATGAAGTCTTTGGAAAAAAACACAATCTGAACACTTAAAAGAATTCGCCTAGGCATCTTTGCCTTCCTGGAAGGAGGCATTCAAATGAGCAAAAGGTTTAATGATATTCCTTACTAAGAGCACCTTTATGTGGCTCTCACATTACCTTATATAAAAATAACATCATTAGTACATTCAGGAAAAAGCAGCTCTTACCCTTACGTCATTGGGTGTTGTTAAGGTATTTTATTGGTCAGAATATACCTTTTTGGTCCCATGAAATTTTGACCTCTTAAGGTATACTCTCGCCTAAGAGTCTACTGTCAGACTCTCATGAGTCTGACACCCAATCACCCTTTGCCAGGTCAACAGAGAAGATGCTGGGCAGGGGGTGTAGTTTAGTGGTACTTACTAGCACAGGCAAGGCCCTGGGTTCCATCTCTAAGAACAAAGAAAAAGAGGGAGAGTGCTGAAGAAACCATTTAATTGGTTCAAAAGATTTTTTTAAAAAATACTATACTAAGTTCAATTCAATACAAATCAGCTTCTAGAATCCAAATACCAGCCAGTCACCGGTAGTTCATGACTGCAATCATAGCTACTCATAGCTACAGGGGAAGTAGAGATTAAGAAGATAGAGGTTCGAAGCCAGTCCCAGACAAATAGTTCGGGAGACCCTAACTTGACCCAGGGCTGGTGGAGTGGCTCAAATAGTAAAAGTGCCTGCCATTCAAGTGTGAGGCCCTGAGTTCAAACCCCAGTGCTGTCCCCTCCCCCAAAAAAAGCAATC